ACGGTGGTCAGACTTAACGGATTCAAGTTTGGATCCATGAGCGTCGGAGGTGGAGGCGAGTTCTGATCGAGACGGAACCGTTCGGCGGTCGGGATCACACCGGAGAGGTGGAGTGTCATCAGGGAAGCTTCAATGATCTCGAATTGTGTTTGGAAAAGAAACCAGAGCGGAGAAGACTTGATGGAGGTAGTGACTGTGTATGTGTCACAAGGATCGTCAAGCTACGGAGAAGAAATGGTGAGATGATGGCGTTGCTTAACGAAGAAGACGCAAAGGGAGGAAAATGGATTTGGGCCCAAGGTGGAGATTGTGATGATATGGGCCCAATATCAAATCAGTTTACTTCTGACCCAAGAAAAGCCCAAGACGAAAGAGTGTCCACCAAGGAATGATTTCCTTTCTTCTCCTAATGTTGGATACGGCAATTCACGAGATGTGTAAAGAAAAGGGAAATATACAAAAGCTAATGGGATTAGGAGAGGCAATAGCTTTTAGTATAAATAAAGAGTTGTGCTTAAGGTTTTGGATCATCCGATCAAAAGAGAAAGACGAGAGCAATACGAGGGATAGAGAGAGACCAAGAATATTAGCAATTAGAAAGAGTGTTTTATTGCTTTATCTTGTGATCTTTATAATTTGTTCTTGAGATATTATTCATAAGAGAGTGAATAAGAGATAAGGTTTTTGGCATCAAGTTATTCTAAATTCTATAGCACAAAGTAGGTTTAAATCCTAACAGAAAGGGAAATGGAAATCAACACTCCATGCAGGCACGTTACACACTATGACTCTCAACTTCGATACTTTCTCGTCACTTCTATATACTTTCCTCCACATAAACAAAAAGATGTATTAAAGCTGTCATATGTATATTCATATGTATTGCAAACTGCTCAATTCTATCACAGCCATTGTGAATTTTTTTTTAAAAGATCGAATATATAATATTATACCAACAGCTAATCATTTTAATAATTCTATATTTGATAATCTCATCCTTTGGTACGTATATATCCCTTTCTTTTTTTTTTATTACTTTCTCTATAATTTTCAAGTCAAATGAGAAAAAAATACTGGCATTTTCCATTATAGAGAGAGGTGGATTCTTAGAAATATCGTTTCCTATTCAGAAGGACGTGTGAGAGAGGATACAATGCATGGTTGGATCATGAACAACAATATTCATATTTAACCTAGCAGTTACCCCTATATATAATTCGACTGAAAACATAAAATTAACACATAACTTACTTTCTAATATCAAAAGATAAGCAAAAAAAAAAAATGATCAAGGTCGAGATGTTGGCAACCATAGGGACATTGTGGTTACTGATGTCTTGTGGATTACTAGTTTCTCCGACATATGCAATTCCAACCAAATCGTTGTGTTCCGAGTTCTATGAATCAAGCTTATCCCATAACGTGGAGTCCACACCAAAAAGAGATTCACTACCTTCAATACGTTTTGGAACTTTACCAAAGGGTCAACTTCCTCCTTCTGGTCCATCATGTGGCACCAATACTCCTGCTCCAACCTAGTTAATTTTTGATCCATGGTACTTTATTATCATCCATCGGCAGTTAAATTTTGTAACAGCAAAAAAAAGTGTTGTAACAACATTTCACGGTTGAGTAATAAAATAAACAAAGGCTTTGTTTCATATATTTGGTTATCAATTCCTATCGTTTCATACTAATGCATTGTGAGTGGATTTTTTTCTTAAAAATTGTTGCACATGTTCATTATATACAAGTTATGAATTTTAGGTCGAGTTGGAGATGATAATAAATTAAGACTTACTCATAGGCTCACCCCTAATGATGAACCTCTAGATTCACCAACTAATAGAGTTACATCATCACATATTTATTATATTTTTAAAAAAGAAACAAATATTGTCAAATTATATTATGTTTTAAAATAAAAAAATAAAAATTCGATAAAAATAGTACTAGTTACAAAAAAAAGCTTTTTTAAACATCTTTTAACGCCGCCAGCAAAACACTAAACCCTAAACCATAAATCATAAATCTTAAACCCTTGTGTAAAATTTAAACCATAAGATAATTCCTAACACTAAATACTAAATCTTGAAAACACTAAACCATTAATCCTAACCCCTAAACCTTTGGATAGATTTTAAACCCTAGGATTTATGGTTTATCTAAGGGTTTAGAATTTAGTGTTTTGCTGACGATGTTAAAAATATTTTAAATTTTAGTTTTTAAAATTTAGTGTTTAGTGTTTTTGATTTAGTGTTTAAAATTTATCTGAGAGTTTATGGTTTACCTAAGGGTTTATGGTTTACCCAAGGGTTTAGGAATTACGATTTAAGGGTTAAGGTTTAGTGTTTTCCTGACGGGGTTAAAATTATTAAAAAAGAGAATTTTTTTTGTTGTTTGTAACTATTACTATTTTTTATTTTTAAAAACATAATATAATTTGACAATATTTTGTTTTTTTTTAAAGATACTAAATATATAATAACACAATCCTATTAGTTGGTGAACCTAGAGATTCACTCTAGGGGGTGAATCCGAGAAAAACTCATAAATTAAAAAGTCCCTAATAATAGGATTTTTAGGTTGAGTTGGAGAAGATGATAAATTATGATAATGAAGAGCTGAAAGAAGCAATGGATAAGAAGTATATAAAGAGCTCTACAAAATGCTTAAGGGATAAAATGAAGAGGTCGAGAAATTATTAACTGAGAAGAATGAAGAGCTGGAAAAGTGACTGAGTAGATGAATGACAAGCTGGCGAGAGTGATAAAGGACAAGGGGCCGAGTTCGTGGCTGAGGAAACCAAAACCACTAGTTAATGAGTTTACCTATCTTGTTTTCTAAGATTCAAATGTGAATCTTTATCTAGGTTCTCTTTATATCCTTTGATTGAATCAAATTTTATCAAACTTATGAGTGAATAACTCATACATGTATTTTCTTGAAATTTAATATGAAAGTCTTTTTACAAAAAAAAATGATAAAGGAAAAGGATAACAAGTTATTTGGATTACACTTTTCGAACATTGGACTCGAAATGAATTTAAAGGAAGCAATGGTGAGATACAAAAAGCATTCGAAGAAATGATTAGCGTAATTAATCAGACATATTTTCATGTTCTTGAGTTCTTAATTATACATATGGTTTTAGGGTTTAACATGTAATTATGTCTTTTTTTTCTTTTTTTGTAAGGACTGAGAGATTCTGATGATGAATCAATGATGGGGGTAAAGAGGATGGGAGAACTTGATGTAAAGCCATTCGTATGCGAACGAAACAAACACTAGATATAGTAAGAAAGTATTAATTTATCTGTCTTATTTTAAACATTACAGTCAAATTTTTCCTTTCTTTTTTTTAACCTGCGAACGAGACAAAAACTACCCGAGGGAGATTGGTTTTTGTTGAGTGTCAGAATTTACTATTATGCGTATTGATATGGGTTGCATGCACATATAACGAAGATAACTTGTGTATTTGATCTCTTATATTAATAAGTATTATTTATATTGATGTATCTTTTTATCTGTCTTATGTTATAATCAAATGATCATTATTATTAGTATCTTATGAATAAACATTTAATAGAAACCTTATGTATAAAAGATAATCACACATCTTATTTTTTTCATTTTCTTTCACACATCTTACTTGCACTCGAAAACATATCAAATCAAAGATGACGCAACCAAACACAAACTTTGCCTTGTGTACACCACCCAATCTTGTATTGTTAATAATTTGATATAAAAGCGTGCAACAAAAGTTTTTCGGTGGATCTAATGCTGTGTAAGAGTAGATTTTACAAATATGCAATAATAGTACACTTGAGCTTAATCAAGAGAAGTAACGATTTTTAGTAAGACACCAAAGTTGATAAAAATTTGTTTTGCGCTAGTCTCTTTCTCTATTTCTTCAACTTTATTTGAAAGTCATACGATGGCTATCATGTTTTTGGTGGATAAAGATAGAAACTTAATGAAATTGGAAGGGCTGAAGCACATTGGCTCCAAACCGGATTGAAAATAAATGTCCCTTTCCGATTTGAAGCTCTTCAAACATTAGTGTAAAGCTAATTAATTATTTTTTAATTATTTTCTGATGAATACTGCCAATTCATACGAATCGTTTTTTTCTTTGCAGTTTTCGCTTGTTTCATGTCAATGAAATGTACTGACATATGCCAATGAAGGTATTATTTTAATTGAAGTTTGTGTTAAATGTCACACCTCTAAAGTATATATTTTTTCTAACATATATAAAGTATGCAGACATTAGCCCTAATGAAACTGACATACTTGGGAGAAGCCACATATAATTTATCTGAGGTGATTTTTAAAAATACTAATGATTGGACAGTGTTATTTGATGGTTGATTTTTCTGTTGACAGTTGTATGGTCACTATATTATAGCTTCTGATACTGCTCTATGTGAATTGTTTTTGCTTCTAATTCCATAAACATAATAATTGGTATTTAAACTATAAACAAATACATCAAAGATGGTTAACGTAATTAATAATAACTAATAAATGAATATATTATATAATTTTGATTGGTTTAATATCTAACCATAATAGGAGCAACCAACAAATTATAAAACTGTCTATATAATAGAAATCGTAAATAAACATTCGTATAACATAATAGCAGACCAGAATAACATCCAAAAGAATGGTGGGGGTTCAAGTATCTCCTGGGAAACCAGGGCTCATCAATCCTCCTTCTTTTAAGACCAGACGTTTTGGAATATTATCACAGTACTATAATAGCACTTTCACTGTTAAATAAGATTAGCAAATGTTTTGTTTCATACATTTGATTATAAATTCCTATCAATTAATTCTGATGCAGCGTGGTTGGATTTTTTATTTATTTATTATTAATGGTTTTACGTTCATTACATTTAGTCCTACACAATTATCGAAATGAATACATTGGTCTGACCCAGTGAGTTTCTATCAACAAGACGTGGAAAAACAAAAGGAAACACAAATCAGAGGAAGAGCTCTTGTGGCAATGAGTTGGGGCAAAACTTCTTTGCTGCAAACTTGTACTGCCAAAAATAGAAAGAAAAAAAAAGAGAGTAAGCATTTCAAGTATCTTGCAGCTACTAATAATAAAAACAAAAGAAGTGGGAAGGGTTTGTTACTTTGTCTTGACTGTACTTCTTTCTGACTGCAACTACATCGGATAAGGGACTCTCATGACATAGCTGAAGAAGATTCTTAACACATGCTTCCAAATGTTTAGCCCTGTACGACGTGTAATGCTCTAACGTAGAGCTCTGTCAAAACGCAAATTTTAACAGGTTTGTTTAGAACACTAACAAAGCTGAGAAAAATAGGAATGTAAATACAGTTTATTTGTCATACCCATGGTTTACGTGAAGGGTGTAATATGTATTGTGCCAAGAAAACAGCAGAGGCTGCTACAAGTGATGGAGCGTAGCGAAGCATAGCGTAATCTAACAGAGATAATTCGCTGAGATAGCATGCTAGTGACTCAAACAGGATTGATGGGACCTAATAGAAAGCAATAACCAGTTAGAAACGTATATAACCTTCATCATCCAATGAGTAAAAAGGCCCCTTCTTCAGTTGTCATCTAGCACTTTACCTCTGTTTTGCCTTGAGCAGCACGAAGAAAGCGCCTAATAACCACCATTTTTACAAGTCTATATCAGCAGGCAACCACACAAAAGAAAGGAAGATTGAAGTAACATCAATATACTAAAAAGCTACCTTAGGAAACATTTTGCGGTTGGAGTTGTTAACTCGAACTTCAAGTAATTCAGAACAGAAGACTCCATCTCCAGAAGCTGTTACAAATATGTAAGGTTAACAATGGCATTACACTATTACTGCCAAATCAAACCCACAAGACCAAAACACAAACCTCGTTTCTTGAGTATGTGTTATCAGTGATGTAACAGAAACTCTCCACTTGAGGCACACACACTTCTTCGTATTTTCTACAAATTCAGTACCCCCACAAGTTAGTAATTGCATACCTTTAAGAAGCCAGAGTATAAAACCTCACAGTGTAAGTTAGTTTTATAGATTTCTTACGCTGCTATCATCATGCACGAAACACCGAGTAACTGCAGGTTTTGCTTAGTAATAACATTCCCTGAAAGATACCGGTCTAAACAGTTCACTGCCAAGTACAACGTCTCAGGCAAAAGCCTATACTCTTCAGCAACCTGCAAGTTACATCACATAACAGTCCAAATTCCATAAAGAAACGTTTTTTATATAACGAAACTTCTTTCCTCATCAAATCTACACTACACTCCTTGCTTTAACGAAACTAGGATTCATTGAAAGCTTACCTCCACAAGCCAATCAATGAGGATAGTACGCATGCTAGCATTGATGTTTGACTGAACTCTCTCCATGTAATCAAAAGCAGGCCTTTTCTTCACCTACATTGCACACAACAAACAAGAAAGTTCAGAAACAGAGCAATTTTAGTGTTGAAAATTCATGAAATTTAACCAAACCTCGGATGAACGCAAATGCTGGAAGATATCGGAAGCAAAGACACCACAAAGCTGTGGATCCACAAGGTCACTATCAATATCATCAACCTCATCTTCCCCCAAAGCATTACGCAATTCGATGTCTTCGTAAGGAACGAGTAAGTTTGATTTCGCGATTGGCTTGGGAGGTTTTGTTGCTTTCTTTGATTGGCTGATCTTATTCGAACAATGAACCTTCCAATAGACGAACGAATTAATTTTTTTACAGATTATAACCGTCAAACCCTAATTTTCTTGGAAGAAGTTTAACTTACGAGAGTAGACGACGGAGCGGAGATTCTAGATCCGGTCTTCTGGTTTGTGATATCTCCGAGAGGATTACGGCGGTTTACGACGTCGCCGAGTGGGGGGGCTCGAGTCTTGCTTCGGTTCGGGCGAGGAATTGGATTCTCGTTGGATTGATTCGTCGATGACGAAGAGGAAGAAGACATTGTTGTTGACGATGAAGTGGAAGAACAACGGATTTCGTCGGCGGCGTAGTCTTTCTCCGGTGAGATGAGTTAGGGTTTTTTTCTCTTCTGCGAGAGGGAGAGAGATCTTTGAGTGAGAGAACAACGAAGAAGAAAAGAAACGGCGGTTACTATTTTTTGTTTTTAAATAACTATAGGGCGCGCGGCGAGTGATTCATCAAGTATTCAACATGATTTTTTTTTTCTTTTTCAAAATGGCAATTAGATACTATTTTGTATATTTCATTACTTATGTGAAATTGCTTTATATAGAATTTCTGTCAATTGAACATCAATATTATTGCAGTAAATAAACCGTGTGCTAGATAATTTGTCTTCTACTTTTTATAAAATATATGTAGCATTTATTTTCTCGTTATAAGAAACTATGAAATCACAAAAGAATAAAATGTTAAAGAAAACGAATCATATTTTGATTTAGATAAAAGAATCGAACAAAAATATTTAAAAACACACACAAGGTACTACACTGTAACAATTTATTATTTACTTATTGTTTAAAATAATTGTGATGCAAGATTCATTTGAAAAATACTTATAAATGGATCCATATTTTTTATGTTCCATGATATATAATCAATCATGAGGTTAACATTCTTTAATTATATTATTTTTGAAAAAATAGTTACACCTTTGGATTAAAAATAACTCTTACCAAAATTGAGATTAAGATAATTAATTAATTTTAACTGTAAATTTCAAAATTTTCATGGCATCACAAATGCGTTAACGCATCCATCCAGCAAAAGGAACTATTAGAGTAGATAGGTCCAAGGCATTCTTTTTCTCCTTCACAAAAACTTTACGGTTAAGTGGTCATTTTTGTTTTGTTGTATTGTTTATTTCATAATTTAAATATACTTTAGGTGAGAATAAACAATTTATTAATATAAAATTACATCCCATGTGAGATTTTTAAAGTTGTATAAGTGAGATAGAGATTTAATTTTGTTAATTAGTAATAATTTTAAAAGATTTGTGTTACAAATAGTTTCTAACACTTCGTAAAAAAAAAGTACTCTGGTTTACTTCGTCTGAGCTTATTTGAATCATTTTTTTCTGCTTCCAAGACTTCAAATCGATACTAATCATCTAACTTTTTAAAAATCTTAAGAAAGCATAAACTGGTTCCTGAGAAATGGGTTTGTGTCTAAATGGCAAATCAGTTAAAATTCAAATGGACACTGATCACAAATCCAACGACACTTAACCACAATCAAAAGCCACGTGCCTTAATCTTAAGGTCCGTCTCGTGTTTCTGTAAATGACACGTCAAAGCATTGAGCAAGCTTTCAGTAAGAAAACATTGGTCTGACCAACCAATGAGTTTCTATCAACAACAAGACGAGGAAAAACAAAAAGGAAGCACCAAGAAACCCAAATCAGAGGAAGAGCTCTTGTGGCAATGAGGTGGGGCAAAACTTCTTTGCTGCAAACTTGTACTGCCACAAACAGAAAGATAAAAAAAAGAGTAAGCATTTCAAGTATCTTACATGAAGCTACTAATAATAAAAACAAAAGAAGTGGGAAGGGGGTTTGTTACTTTGTGTTGACTGTACTTCTCTCTGACTGCAACAACATCGGATAAGGGACTCTCATGACATAACTGAAGAAGATTCTTAACACATGCTTCCAAATGTTTAGCCCTGTACGACGTGTAATGCTCTAACGTAGAGCTCTGTCAAAACGCAAATTTTAACGGGTTTGTTTAGAACACTGAGTTGAACAAAGCTGAGGAATGTAAATACAGTTTCTTTGTCATACCCATGGTTTACTTGAAGGGTGTAATATGTATTGTGCCAAGAAAACAGCAGAGGCTGCGACAAGTGATGGAGCGTAGCGAAGCATAGCGTAATCTAACAGAGATAATTCGCTGAGATAGCATGCTAGTGACTCAAACAGGATTGATGGGACCTAAACACACAAAAATAAACAGTTAGAAACGTAAATAACCCATCACCCATTGAGTAAAAAGGCCTTTCTTCAGTTGTCATCTAGCATTATACCTCTGTTTTGCCTTGAGCAGCACGAATAAAGCGCCTAATTTTAACCACCAATTGTACAAGTCCAGATCAGCACAAAAGAAAGGAAGATTGAAGTAACATCAATATATATTAAGAAGCTAAACCTTAGGAAACATTTCGCGGTTGGAGTTGATAACTCGAACTTCAAGAAATCCAGAACAGAAGACTCCATCTCCAGAAGCTGTTACAAACATGTAAGGTTAACGCTGTGTTACTAGCATATCAAATCAAATCAAAGAAGAGCTTTTCCACGGAAGAAAGACCAAAGCACAAACCTCGTTTCTTGTGTATGTGTTATCAGTGATGTAACAGAAACTCTCCACAAAGGGCACACACACTTCTTGGTATTTTCTGGAAATTCAGCAAGTCCACAAGTTAAAAAAAAAATAAAAAATTGCATACTTTTGATGAAAACCTCAGATAGTAAGTAAGGTTATAGATTTCTTACGCTGCAATCATCATGCACGTAACACCAAGTAACTGCAGTTTTTGCCTGCTAATTACATTCCCTGAAAGATACCGGTCTATACAGTTCACTGCCATATACAACGTCTCAGGCAAAAGCCTATACTCTTCAGCAACCTGCAGTTTTGACGAAAAAATCACACATCAGCTAATACTCCAAATTCCATAAAGAAACGTTTTTTATATAACTCTAAACTACACTGGTAGGATTGATGGAAAGCTTACCTCGACGAGCCAATCAATGAGGATAGTACGCATAGTAGGATTGATGTTAGACTGAACTCTCTCCATGTAGTCAAAAGCAGGCCTTTTCTTTAGCTACATTGCACACAACAAACAAGAAAGTTGAGAAACAGAGCAAGTTTAGTATTAAGTTGATGAAATTTACAAACCTCAGATAAACGCAAATGCTCGTAGATATCGGAAGCAAAGACACCACAAAGCTGTGGATCCACAAGGTTACTATCAATATCTTCAACCTCATCTTCCCCCAAATCTGACTCTTCGGATGTTGATCCTTGTGAAGAAGCATTACGCAATTCGATGCCTTCGTTAGGATTTGATTTCGCGATTGGCTTGGGAGGTTTTGTTTCTTTCTTTTTGGAACAATTCACCTTCAAATAGATGAAAGGGATTATATTTTTACAGATTATAACGCTAAAACCCTAATAAAAAAGAAGTTTTAACTTACGAGAGTAGACGAGGGAGCGGAGATTCTAGATCCGGTCTTCTGGTTTCTGATATCTCCGAGAGGATTACGGCGGTTTACGACGTCGCCGAGTGGGGCTGCTCGAGTTTTTGGCTGATGAAGAGGTTTCTTTGATTGGCTGGTCTTATTGGAACAATGCACCTTAAAATAGATTAAGGAATTAATTTTTTTACAGATTATAACCGTAAAACACTAATTCTCCCGGCGGAAAAAGAAGTTTTAACTTACGAGAATCGAAGACGGAGCGGAGATTCCAGATCCGGTCTTCTGGTTTGTGATTTCTCCGAGAGGATTACGTCGGAGTGGGGGGGCTCGAGTCTTGGTTCGGTTCGGGCGAGGAATTGGATTCTCGTTGGATTGATTCATCGATGAAGAAGAGGAAGACATTGTTGGTGAGATGAGTTAAGGGGTTTCTCTTCTGCGAGAGGGAGAGAGAGATCTTGAGAGTGTATTTCAAAACGAGTTTCTAAGGACCGTTAAATAGACAATAGAAATCGAATAGAGAAACAGACACGAGTACGAAGTTTAAAATTCAAATTTTCAAAATTTTGTAAGGCTCTATGTCTTTTTAAAAAAAAATACAAAGTAAATGTGTGATAAAGACAAATCCCGATAAAAAATAAAATAAAAATATTTCAAAAAAATAACTATTTAAAGGAAGCAGAAAAAAATCGGAGGATGTTAAAACGGGCAGCAGGCCCGCGGGCCTTTTACGGGCTTGAGGAAAAATATACGAACCCGTAACCCATTTATTATTTTGTTAAGCTAAACAGGGTCCAATAAGGGCTAGTCTCGTAGTTATAAACGAAGAAATAATCCTTAGTTGAGAAGACAAGTTTAGCTCGTGAAACAAATGTTTATGTATGATTTGTGTTGTTTGTTTCCACTTTGAACTCAAAAAACTCTCCCATCGAATATAGTTGTAAGTAATTTCTTCTTTTCATCGAGTTTACTAGAATGTTTGTTCTGCCTTTTTTAAGTGTTGAGATGATTGAACTAGGTTGTACGGAGATACACAAAACAGCTACTTTTTGGAATTGGAGTACCTTCACAGTCATGCAATTTTGCACAGAGACATTAAGGTAACAGTTTTTCCTACGCGTCAGAGCAAGCTGAGTTCGGATGGAAGTGATCACCCTTTTGTGTTGCAGGACCTCCATCATCTAATGAAAGTGTCACAGACACATGTTGTAATGAAAGTAATCTTGAGCCCTATTGTGTTGTCATGTGTAGTGTCGATGTGGTACTGAGCCTTGTATAGTTGTGTCATGTCTTCTTTGTGTCATGGACTTTTGTAACAAGAGTAGTAAAGAAACATTGGCATCTTGTATCACAAAAAAAAACATGTTATCATGTAAAGAAACAATTGGGGGTGCTAGGGTTAGAGGACAAAAATGATGAGATTTCTTAACTAGAATGCTTAACACCTTTTTATTAATAAAAAATGATTAAACACCCCATTAAAAATACTAGGGTTAATGGTGCTCTAAGTAGCAGCAAAGACAAGACACGGGAAAAAAATCTTTAGTCTTACTCTTGACCAACAAATCAAAACTAACTTTTAAATTGACTTAGGGAAACTAGACAAAGTTTTAAATTAGATAGGTTCTAAAGAAATAAAAGAACAAAAAAAACATGATACTAAAGCAAGAAAGGCATCTTCTTCCTTAAATGTCTTTTTTGTGTTGTGAAATCTTACATATTTCCTTAAAATTTAAAGAACTTTAGAACAAAAACATTCATTATCAAATTGATATGGAACAAAAGTAATAAATATTCATTCCATTCTTAGTCACCCCACGGTAAGAAATCGGTTTGTGCTTCTTTGGTTGATTGAACTATGTGGAAATAGTTACATTCTAAGTCTCTTTGGTTGGTGTTTCAGGGGAAGGAGTGGGAACTACATTCTCGACGTTCTATAAAGATACAACTGTGTATGAAGTAGACTACTGTGCTTATGTTAAAAAGTTGTATAGAAGGAACGATCTCTTAGTTTTTTATTTTTTTATTTTTTTATTTTTTAAAAAAAAAATTGTGTGGGTTAATATATTGACATTATCTCTGGGAGACATAGGTACCTTAAGCATGGCACATAATTGGGAACATTTGAGGGTGATGCAAGTATGCTGAGACACTGCTTTAAAGTGATGTGTTGTTGTGTAATCAAGTATAATAAAATCATCTTTCATCAGTTTATGTTCGTCCCCTCTGGTTTAAACAATCTTATACTAATATACTCTTACATATATTTTATGCGTAAAGACTTTGAAGAGTCTTGTAGATAGCCGGCGCTGCCGGGTGCCCACTGAACGTGGCAAGCAATACAAATTTTGTGCTCTTTCCACAATTCCACTATGAAGCTCCACTTGTTGACTCTGTTATGGTCGTTGGAAGTTTGGTTTGACCTTTATGTGACATATGTCATCATCATGCCTTTCAATTGGAATCTTATGAAGACGAGACAAACAAAAAAGTTTTAAGTGGTTATACCTTTTTGCATTTCATGTAGGGAAAATATTCATTGTGACACTGATCATTTCAAAGTTTGAATTACCAACAGTTTTTTTTTTTTTGGTTTCATTTTCCCCTTTCACGTCTAAATCATATGAAAGACCGCGTGCTGTAACTATTCTAGAGCACTTGAATATTTGAAATCCTTTGTAGCCTTTTAATTCTGTCAACATATGATTATACATACATACATGTATCATCACAATCTCATATGATGTGTGATCAGCTAAAAGCTAAAATACTGGGTACTATATACCAAAAAATGAATAAAACAAGCATTTTTCATGTGTGATTGCTAAAAGTTAAATATTGTATGCTATATCCCAAAAAATGAATAAAACAAGCATTTCTCATGTCTCATGGCCTAAATTGAAAGATGCATTCTTCCTCCATTTTTTTTTGTGTGTGGGTATATTATAATCTCAATTAGAGTTTGAAATTTTGAATATTAATATTATATGGTGATTATTGTATAATTTGAAAAGGCTAAGTTTAATGGTGGGGACAAAATTAAAAACCAAGTCAAATAACACAGATAAACTTCTCTAATCTCTCCCGCCACCCACCTCCTCTAATCTCGCCTCTCATCTCTCTCTCTATCCTAATCCTATCTCTATGTTCTGTCCTTAATATAAAGACATTAACCTCATTTCTTGTAAGCAAAAAAACAACAAAAACCAAATATGACCACTGTTGCTGTTGATGATACATTCAAGAGACAAGGCTCTATACCTTTTAGCTGGGAGATCCGACCCGGTGTACCCAAAACCCAAGTTTCTCAACCCGAAAACGCACCTTTTCTTCAGCCTCCCAAGAAACTCTCTCCTCTCCGTTTAAAACCACGGTCTCACTCTCAGCCTCTTCTCCCGCCGGCGCTATCTCCGCCGTCGTCTTCTTTCATCTCCAAGAGCCGTTCATCTCCCGTCACCCCTTCTTTTCCAACTCCGTCGAAGCTCAAACCGCCACCACCGTCGCAGTCTAGATTATACTCTCCGACACCTTCTTTCCGTTCAACCCCGCGCGCTTTCTCCGAGCGGTGGCGGCTCAACCGGGTCAGACCCGGATCCGAGTCCGAGCCCAGACCCGGATCCGAGTCCAAACCCAAGGAAGATTTCGGTTTCGCCGGACTCGGGTGTTTTCCGACGCCGAAGTTTAGGTTGAGGAAGAAGAGCAAGACCGGTGGTCTGAGAAAAATCCGGTCGGACCGTGATTACTGCTACGATATGGAGACGATGTCGCCGTGGACTGTTTCTCCGAGATGGGACTCGCCGAAGTCGTCGTTCTCTTCGCTCCGATTCTCGCCGCGACTCGCCAACGAAGCTGAGTGGGTTGGGCTTGGGCTATTTTGAGCCCATTTTTAATGGGCCGAGATTGGCTCTTTTTAGCCATCCGGTTAAAGTAACTGTTTGGGATAGCATGTAATCTAACACTATTAAAAGGCCTAAATCAAGCCATCTCCCATTGTCCACGTGGGCAATTATATTTACCCAATAGTAATGCTCTAATCTGCCACATAGGAAACCAGGTGTGGTTTTGGTCTGAAATTGGTATCTGGTTTTGATCTTTATTTGGTTAATTCTCAATTTAGCTTTGGTTTTTGTTACGGAGAAAACAAGGAAGCAGTAGATATTTGCATTCCTTTCGTCTTCCTGTCTCTCTCTTTCACCTATTCCGTTTCATCGATTCATTTAGCCACTCTCTGTGTAATCAATCTTTTGTTTTATTGCATTCAATCCTTTGCAATGGATTCCTCCTTTCACCTTCTTCTACATAGTTGTATTTATAGATCTCTCCTCACAGATTATGTCTCCATCAAACTCTTAAGATTTTATACTCTCTCATACATATCGCGATGGATCCGAGTTGCAATTCTTCAATCCCCACCGGCGAGAAGACCAAGAAGAAGTTTGTCTCATCCTCCGCGAAATCTCAACATGATGGGAAATCTTCTGAGTCCTCCGCCACTGCCTCCAAGCCTCATGGCAAGGCTAAATGTCAGATGCCTTAATCGCTCGGTAACTGCTTTTAGACAAGATCCGAAGAGATTCAGTTTTCAGCCCTCAGAGTTTTTCGAAGGCAACTGTGACGTGGCCGAGGAGATGATCTGTACGGTAAGTCGTATATCCAAGATAGTGCAACCTCACCTCAGTCTCTGAAATGTTAGTTATTGGTTTTGCAGATGTAGTTGGCCATCTCAGGCTAATTGATGGCCAACAACACCCTATACTCGAGACCTTTGAGGGGACAATGAAAAGGGGAGTCTCCATTCATCTACAGCTTAAAGAGTAAGCAATTTATATTTCCCCTTATAATGAACCTTATCATTGACTGTGTATTGCGTTCAGTTTTAATCTCAGTAACGATTATATTATAATATACAGACTTGCAGAGGACCTCTTATAGACTACCATGAGATTACATAATACACTCTGTTTTTTCGTATTTCTTTGTCACGATGTGAAGATAGTGGGCTCATAAAAGACATAAGGTAAGTGAGAATCTTTCTTTTACTTGATTATCCAAGTTATTATATATGCCTTTCATAGATCATCATGTTTCGTGTTATTTGGAAATCTGTAGTTAGTTTTGGGAGGCTTAAGCCAATCTTGATGAGTTTTATGTTTTTAGCAAAGACAAACTAATTGGTAATCAAGTTTTCTGCAGTGAGTATGTGAGTGTAATGCTAAGTTGGAAATTTTGAATCATTTGTGTTATCTTATCTTGAATAACAGTCATAAATGAAATATATGAAGGAGTTTCTCATCAAGGAACGTCGACGTTGCCTTGGCATCTCACCAAAAAGAACTGATGAGCTTTGGAGAAACATCAAAATAAGAAGGGAAGCAATATTAATCATCATGACGAGATGAGAGATACCAATAATAATAGTAAGTACCCTACTCACATTGAAATCATAATTGCAGACTTTGTAGTGACTGAAACAATAGTCCCTCCAAATGTTTTATTACAGCCTCAAATGGGCAATGAGTTCAGTACCACCAGCCACATTAGCAACATCAATGGTTTATCTATATCTGGTTTTTGAGATGCAGAAGTTGGTACGTCTTCAGTGTCTATGATGATGAAATGATTCTGCAATACAGAACAAGTCTATGGGAGGACCAAAAAGGGCTCCATCAGCATGAGATATGGTGGAGAAAGATCTTAGCTAGCCACATAAGAGGCTGAAGAAATAACAGAGAACACGTTAGCACGTTGACGAGCTAGGAAATATGGTTAGAATGAAGGAGAAGACATAAACAAACTTATTGTTTACTGTCTGTTTGTTTGTTGCTTAAGTCTGACAAAATGCAATATCATTGTAATGAACAAGCTTAGACTCATGAATAAGAGAACATGTGTTCAAGATTAGAAGAACAAAACAGAGAACTTCCAACGTTAAAAGTAAAACATGTCATCTTTTCATGTTTCCATATACTTTAGTTTCATGATATTCAAAAGTTTATTTTTTGTTTTAATATTTGAAATAATGGCAGAAGGTGTACCACCAAAGTGTAACAACGCATGCCTCTTAAGAATTGTTTACATTGAAGGTACCATATCTTATATTTAATCTTTTTAGTTGGTTTACTATAGAAAATGTTTCAGTTATAAATTCTTAGAACATTATAATACGGGTAAATGAATGAAACATTCTGGTCACGGGAACAAATGATCATATAAAATAAAGCTTCTATAAATTAATGATGATGGAATTTTGAAATTTTATTAATTTATAGAGATTAATTTACAAAAATTTCCTTATATAAATTTCTTATTTTAAAATATATCTATTTTAAGATAAGAAAAATATTTGATTTTAGTATATAGACATTACTTTTTCTTTAATTTGAAATTTATATTAATTTATTATATTATTTAGTGTACATAGTATATATTGCATAGGATTTAATGTGATTTTAGATATAATATTACTAAATCTCATTAAAAATATATTAAGTATTAAGAAAATATAAAGATAAATTCATTGCGAATATAACACAAACAATATAATGATAGTTCTTACTTATATAAAATATTTATACACATAAATTACTAATGGCACCATATATTTACATAGAATTATTTTTAAAATTATTATCTTATTATTTTTATCGATCAGTGTTAAATTTTGAACCGGTCCAAATTGGGACCAGCAAAATTTATTAATTTATTGAGTATTAATTTATAGAGGTTCTGCTGTACCATTAATCCAAAAAGATAATATTTGTTATTATGTTTTCTGATAATGCCCAGAAACGCATGTTACAAATATCATCTTTTCATTTTAGTTTTTTTAGGTGGAAACTCCAGTCTATCAATACTGTGATACGTTGGATTTTCATCTTTTCTTTTGATGGTATACCAAATAAATTTGTAAAGATTAATTTTATGTTAAAACATCCCGGTCTACGGTTCTTCAAATTTTAGAAATTTTCCAATTTGCTTCTCACTTTTTTTTTTAAACTCCAGTTCAGAATAATTGTTTAAAATCTTAAATTATCAATAAATATTAACATATTTATGGAAAAAAATATGAGTGTGTGTTCTTAATCTTAGCATACACACAACATTGAAAGGTCCTTTATTCTCGACAAACCAATGACCAATATATTTACATTTGTGTGATGCACTTAATGTATCTATCATACTTTTATTTAGTACACCACAGCTAATGCTTCCATCTTACTTTCTAAGAGTATTTATAGTAATAAACTTATTTAGTAAAAATAAAAAACAAATAAATTTAAAACTCTACACTATTTAAAATAATTTATAGCTTAAGGATTTAAAGATTTATCGAGTAAATTTTATTGATCATCAAAAGAATAGTTTAATTTTTTTTACTTCTACATATAAAACCCTTTTTCAAAAGAAAAAACATTTCACATTTATAAATTATATGGTCATTTACCATTTCTTCAAATGAATAGTTAAAAAAAACAGGACAAGTTACTTAAACTAGCATTTTCATAGTATCATTTTTCATGTTTATCTTCATCACATTTATTATTATTTTTAAAGAGATAAATAGACACTTATAATATTAGGGTTAACTAATCTAGACTTATAATTTAAATTTAAGGGGTGGTGTTTAGAAATAATTAAAAATTAAAACTAAAATTTTAAAAAGAATTTTCGAATTTCATCTACATCTACGCATCTCCTATACTCTAAGTCAAGTTAAATCATGTTTGCAAAACTCAAAACTAAATAAAGTCCTGGGACATTACTAAACCGAAAAAAACACCGTGTAGCACAAAATATAGAACTACAGTTATAACCTGAAATATTAAAAATATAATAATACATATCACATTAAACACTGGAAAAGGAACAAAAATAAAAATAAAATACATCCACAACTAGCTTATATGCAAATACTCACCTAAACTACAATATGACCCAGTCTGATATATGCATACCAAAAATTACATCATCACATCCATCTAGATTAATAAATCACATAAATTTCGAACATCATCACATAATAAATAAAATGAAAATAACCAATAAAAATAAAAGAAATCTGTTTTTAAATAGTCTAATGTCTGATAAAGCAATGGGAAGAACAAATAAAAAGGTAAACACACCAAATTAAATGAACAATATTTTCACCAAATACATAGTCAATAAATTCGTCATTTCAACAGTTGTCAAGTGATATACAATAAAAAAATTAAGCTACATCTGCATATAAAAATATGAAACAAAATCTTGAAAAGATAATCTAATTATTAATTACTGGTAATGAACAAAAGAAATGTGAAAATAAATTATAGAATCCATTTTTTCAAAGAAATTATAGAATCCGTTTTAAAATTATTTCTTATTAATAATAGTATTTTATTTTTATAAACACTTCAAGATTAGCATTAAATAAATATTGATGCCAAACTAATTTTAAAGATTTTTTTGGTGACATTTTGAGGATTATTCTACAATGGCCAGTAGTCATCAACACATCATTAAAGTGGCAACAACTCATATAGATTCTAAATACCATAAAGATTTTCTAATACCGTAACTTAGAACTCAATAGTAAATAAAAAGTGCAAGCTCACCGATTTCAAGCTAAAAGTATAAATCTTTGAATATCTATCATGTTAGAATAGTGATGGTATATGTTTACAGATTTTGCAACATAAATCATTTCTATCACAATGAGATGGATTTTATCTATGATTAATAATTTGCTTACATGATAACCCAATATATAGATAAAAATTTATTTGGATGATAATTTAAATTTAACTATTCTTTATTCATTTCACAGTTGCTCATCTTTCCATCTATTTTAGATAGTAAAATGATAAATTGTCAATTTGACTCATTTCTAATTCAATATATGGTTTATATATTTATAATAATGTAATATGTGTATTATATATATATATATATTAAATTTTTCAGTTTGGTCGGAATTTCCATTAGTGAACATGATTGAAGGCAATCAGGGAACACCAATTAAAAGACATGAATTGTCAATCCTTTTAAAATATCAACAACATTCTTTGGAATTTTATTAGGGAAACCATACAAATAGCTATTAGAGAATATTATTAAAGTTTTAATATTTAGTTTTTCTGCATGGAAACAAAAGTATTTGACATAATTCAGGATTGCTTTAATGTACATCACTTTTAGATTTCAATTGTTCTTCATTTCACCAGTGCCTTAACACTTAAGAACGAATCATATATAAAATAATAAATAGTTAAAATTTCAAAGTATACATTGTTTGATTTTAACGTTAACACAGAGTTTGAATTTTTTTGGTGCACTTTTGTTTGTGTGGACCATGCAATGTTTGAATAAAACATTAATTTAACGATGTTTCCGTATATAAACGAGAAAAAAAGAATTGAATTTTAACTATAATTTATTTTAATTAAATTTGTTTACCATCTTATATGTATTTTGATGAATGAAACTGAATTAAATAGTTTCAAAAATTTTAGTCACCAAAAACAATACAAAAATGTAAATTTATCTATAATTTATATAGCATATTAAGTCTAAGTGTAAAATATATAGTCAAATATATATTCTATATGATTTTTGTATATGGTTTTTGACATAAGTTCATAATAACAATATGTCTACTAAAATGATTTTGTTGTTTGTCATTAAAAGTGATGCTCTATGACAAGAAGTGTTTTAAAAACCGGAACTGGCTAGTTGGATCATGACTCTCTCTCTTCTAAACAATTTTGAGTTTGCTGAAAACCAACAAATTTTGATATTAAACCCTGATTTTTTTTTTCAAATTCAAGTTAAAATGCAAACTTTTAAAACTTTCATAAAACCTTTATTATTTTTAATATCTATTTAAATAAATTATTTTCATTATATTTTATATTATTTTTGAAGTTTTCATTTTGTTTCCATCTCAATTTATCTTCAAACAATGATAAAAAGTCTTATAAAAATAACTTTATAGTTATACATATGTATATATATAGATAATTAATTTAAAATTAAATTAAATTTACAATCCAGTTGGACCCGTGTGACCATTGACCTAATTGCAATGTCAAATCAGTGTTCGGTTTGGTATTTAAAACATTGATGGCAATGATAAATTAATATCATCCAGTTTATAAATAAATAGAATAAATAAACATTGTTCATAACAACAAAATATATACAATCTTAAATTTATATAATATCATTTTAAATATAAATAAAAGTCAATTCATTTTATATACTTAATTTTAAGATTTTGATAGTATTGTCTACCAATATTTTGAAAATAGAAAATATAAAACTATAGATTAAAACATTTTAGTAATTATTATGTAAGTTAGTTATACCAAAAATAAAATAAAGGTTCTGTTAAAAAACTAGAAAATCTATATTTTGTAAAAAAAAATGTTCATTATTATTATTACTTATCAAACTTTTTTTGAATTAACTACAATGATTTTGTCAATCTTTATTTATTTTTTATTTAACTTAACATTTTTTTTTCTGTTTTTAATTATAAATTTAATTATATAATATATTTTATATATAAAAATAATATAACTGAAGATTTTGTTTAACAGACTAGCCGCGCGTAGCGCGGCCAAAATATCTAGTATTCTATAATAAAATAAAATTAAAACATAGGAAGTAACCCGGGCGTAGCCCGGGAAAAGTCTCTAGTATTCTTAAATTTTGAGTCCTATATACATACCTATTGTCAGTAGAGCTTTTTTTTGTTTTTTTTTTAATTAAATCTCTGTAATATTTTGAAGTTTTTTTGAGTGTGGGAAGAAAGAATGTAAAAATGTGGAAGTGAAATCAAGTTTTGGATATTAAGAAGTCTTTCAAAAAAGGGTCTAATCAGTTAATTTAAAATCTATAGAGGGTATTGATAGTACACATAAGTTGGTGATGCAAGTTTTGAGCTCAGAATGAATAAATGAACTGCAAAAGAGGTTGTTCTATTTTAGATTTTTTTTTTTTTAGTATTATGATTTCTGATGACATACACAAGGGGGTATATATATATATATACTAAAAAAAATTCCTTGTTTCTATGCAAACAGCATAACCAAACATATTTATTTCACTACTAAAGACTCTTCTCTGGTGTCAAAGCTCTCCATCTTTCTTGTTCCTAGAAGCATCAGTTCCTGAGAAGAGCTCTCCTATCAAACCAAAGCCTCTCGGATAAGCCTCCTCCTCTGACAAATTCCCTCCATCATCTTGACCCACACTGTTTTACAGGAAATGAATTATAGATTTGATAAACAACAACAACAAGAAAGAAAGGCGGAGAGAAAAGGGGATCAGAACTTGGGAAGCTTGTCACAGTCTGAAGGGATCCATCCAATCATCTGCTTCTCATTGTCGTAGATCACCATTATCCCTTGGAATGATATGTCTATCACACATACAAACACACATAGCCATAAGACATTTGTTGTGAAAGTAATAAACATAAACAAACTTTGGTGTATCTCTTTACTTTACTTACCCCCAATGATGTTATAGTTCTCAAGCCCTATCTCAGTTCCGTTTAGAATCCCCAAACATACGTTTCCTTTTTCCTGACGAAATACACAAACTCTCAAGTCTCAGACTCTCTCATCCATGGATTTTTTATTATTGAAGATACAGGTCATGTGTTACTCACAGTGATGATGAGATATGACTCAGGTGGAATCTGAAACAGCTGACCCTTCTTTTGACTCCCACCAAACCGTAAAGTAATCGTCTTGAAGTATTTCTTGACATCATGTACTGATTTCAAAGGCTTCTTGTCTTTCCAACACACTGGTAAGCTTTTATCTTCTTTTGTGTCCTTAAAAGGCTTCCCCTTCAAGTCTTTCCTTATCTACAAGACACCAAATCAGTCATAAAGATGTGGGAAAGACACTAAAATTAATCTGCTTAGAAGGAACTGTCTCTTACAAGATCGAGAACCGCTTGGTATGCTTCGGCATTGAAGTAAGTGTAGGAGCTTCCACTATCGAAAATGAAGTTAATGCCTTTCACACCTGTGGTCTTGTCGTTAAAGAGAAGCTCTGCTGGTCCAGTCTTGTAGTTTTTACTATAAAGAAAACAAAAGAGTTGCATCATGAGTTTCAACTTTGGGAATCATTAAAAGTGAGAAAAGAAAAGGTTGCTCCTCACCTAGGTGGCTTAAGAGCCAGTGAAGTCCATGTAACTCCAGAGGAAGGAACAAGCTCATCTCCAATAGAGAGAAAGCCTTTACCATTATGACTTAAGCAATGCACAATCACATTCTTTGTTACCCCTAAGGAACTAAGCTGTGATGAGATGCTTACTTTGCCTCTTCCAAGGCCGAGGATACCCGCTGTTGGAGGTGGAGGGTGTGGCCCAGGGTTCTGCTGATCATACCCACATCTGAAAAAAAAAGGAAACTCATTCATTCACCAACTACAAACTGGACCAACAGTACAGATATGTCATTTTACAGCTTATGGATTTCAAATGAGTACAGAAAACTAACCCAAACGTCAAATGGGGACGCAGAGTGGAGCCGTTTTCGAGTCTAAGAGGGAACTCATCAGAAACAAGAGCACCAACAGAGGATGCATGATCAGAATACCCAATTTCATAGTCACACTGATCCTCAGGGTCATCACAAGATTTTATCTGGGGAAGGTCAAGGCCAGAACATAGGAGGTGGGAACAAGGCAGAGTGTTGTGATTGGGCTTGTACTGATTATCACGAGGCTGCCAAAAAAGAAAAGAGAGAGATATATAGATTCAAGTTATGATGTCACACAAAAACTAGAAGCAAAGTCAAAAAGGGATAACCTTTGTACAACCGTTGCAGGGAGCATCACACTGAACCCAAGTGAGATCACTACCAGTGTCAATGTCTAAGTCAAAAAGCTTAGGTGGGTTTCCTATGTTCAGTAACACATAATAGTACCTGAGATACAAGAAATGCAAACAAAAAGGTCAACTCATTGTCAAAGATCTGATCTTTGAAACCTTCTCACATTAATAGAAATGGGTCACTAAAAAGAACCGACAAAAACAAGAAAGAGAAGAACTTTAAGGTTACCCAAGAGGATAAACGTTGCCGGAGACGGGAAAGACGACGGAGGAGCCAAGACGATGGTTCTGTAACTTGACTTGTCCCTTGGAGGAGTCTTTGGTAGTAGTAGCTTCAGAAGGTTGAACAAAGAGGAGGAGGAAGAGCACACAGAAGAAGAAGACACCTGGAAAGAGGTTTGTTGTTGTCTCACTTTTGGGATTCATCATTTACCTTTTTTACTCCAAAGAAAGCAAAATCCAAATCCCAAGAAGGTTTCCTTTTCAGAGGGGAAAAAGTTTGACACTTTTGCTGCTGCTCTGCTTCTGCTTCCTATAATGTTTGTTTTTATTTATATAAAGAGAAAGTATCTTACTTTAACTGCTTGCAAGTTGCAAGTTGGTACAGAGGTTTTGCTTTGAGTTCCCGTAGAGATAGATTGATT